GTACTCAAGAAAAAATCAAGCCCGAGTATAAGCAAATCTCTGCAGCCAACTACCAGTTTACAGAAAGCACAGATTAAAAAGGTGCATATTAAACTACTCCTCGGGGTGCAGCCGGCAAAACACAAACTATGGAAAACACAACCAGACAATATAAATTTCAAGGAGGAACATATAGAAAAAAAAAGAACAAACACTAAAAAAATACACCACAGTAAAACTAAACTACAATTTTAGATGATGAAAATATAAAATAGAACAAAGAAGTGATGATCATAAAAGTCAGGCTGTGATTTTATGACGGGGGAGGGAAGAGTTTATCACTGAGCTGGGGCAGATGATGGAGTTTCCTGGGCTGGCTGACAAACTTCTATCTCTCTGGTGGTTAAACGGTGTTTACCTTTTATTAAAGGGCAACATTTTCAGACAGGTTTTCTTTTCGGGGCCTGTTTTGTTTCATGACAAAAAAGCTAATGAAGCATAAAATAATTTACAGGTGATGGTTATGTTTTGCACCAAGCCTACTCTCCACACCCCTGTCCAGACACTGAGATCCCAAAACAAGTGGCAGCCCCAGGAGCCCCTGGCAGGGCCACCTCACTTCTGGGTGTGGTCATGTCATTGGAGGCAATGTCCCTGCTCTATTCTGTGATGCCTGGAAGAATCTGATAGGAGACACGGAGCGGAAGCTTCCCTGTCACCTGCAGGTTCTTGGCCATCACTGTAGAGGGAGCAGGCCCTCACCTCTCCACAGGCCAGATCACAGCCGGAGCCTCCTCTCTGCATGGGGAGTGAGGTTGGTCCTTTTCCAAACACAGTGACAGAGATCTCTCCAGAGGCGAAGATGACACCATTCTTCCTCCAACATGGTCCAACTTCATGTTTTTCTGCTTTGCAGGAAAGTTGACTCAGGGTGGTGTTCAATGCAGAAATCCCAGGTAGGAAAGATGGGCAGATCTCAGGGCTGTATTTGATCTGGGACAGGGAGAGCATGGAGCATGCTGCCCTTGCACCCAGGAGGTGGGTGCTGGGGCTCTGCTTCAGGGTGGAGAGAGGTTATTGCTTATCCTCCAGGTTCCAAATAAAAACCCTTCTGCCCGGCCGGTCTTGTTCTCCCTGGATCCTCAATTCTAACAAGGACTGTCTTTTTGTCACCTCCCTGGGAAGGACTTTTGGACATAGGAAAGTGGATGTGATTTCTAGGTTCACTGTGTTCTGGTTGATTGCGCTGCCAATAAAATACAATCAAAATACATATTTAATAAATAATAAAATAACCCATAATGAGCAAATGTCATCATGTATTGACACCATCGAGGTTTCCTCCAAGTGTAGGCACAGCTGCAGGCACACCTTGTCTCTTGGGTCAGGACACTGGGTCGAGTGAAACAGGAAACCACCAGTCACTGCAGAAAGGATCCTCATGGAAGAGGTGTGACACGGAAGGTCTGAGGTCCCAGGGCCACCACATGTAGGAGTGACTCCCATTCTGGGAAGGACCTTATTTTATTTTGTATTCACAGTAGTTCTGAAATAGCAGGATGCTGAGACTCAGCACTGGCCAGTTATGCTGTTTCTTTCTTTCCCATTAAATGCTGTGTCAAACAGCACCTGAATACATTTCTTTCCTCTTCCTGGAGAGAGGCAACATAACAGTAGATATGTTGAAACACACAAAAGTACTTGCAGCTTGTGCTTTCAGAAAAAGGTACTGAAAGATTAATTGCACCAAAATGAGGGGAGGGGGAGGATATAAAAGTAAAAAGAAAGATTGCATATCCATGTTCATAGCGGTGGTATTCACAACAGGCAAGATATGGAAGCAACGTAAATGTCTATCAATAGAGGACTAGATCAAGAAAATGTGACTATACCCAGGCAATGGCATATTATTCAACATTAAACACAAGAACATTTTGTTATATGCTGCAACATATATGAAGCTTGAGGTCATTGCTAAGTGATTATGCCAGTAAAAAAAGCCTCCAAAGACTGCATACTTCCATATATGAGGTGTCTAAAACAGTCTAACTTGATGAACGTGAAAGTAGAATGGTGGTTGCCAGGGAAAACTTCTACAGGCAGTGAGGTGTTTTTGTGTAATGGGCACCGAGTTTCAGCTTTCAAGGTGAAATATTCTAGAGATCTGTTGCACCACCATGTGCTTATAGTTAGTACTGTTATAGTACTTTATATTTTAATTTAATTTAATTTTTTTTTTTGGTAGAGACAGGGTCTCACTATTTTCCCCAGGCTGGTCTTGAACTCCAGGCCTCCCTCCAGTGATCCTCTTGCCTCACCCTCCTAAATAGCTGGGATTACAGGCATGAGCCACCACACCTGGCCTATGGTACTGTATTCTTAAAAATGGTTATGATAGTCAATTTTATGTGATATATTTTTTGCCACAATGAGAAAATGCTTAGCCCTGTTACTAATTTAGAAAAAAAGTGCATCAGTTAATTAAAAATAAGTTAGGATGTGGCCTGTGGTCCTTGCTACCCAGGAGGATGAGGTGGGAGGGTCACTTGAGCCTATGAGGTGGAGCCTGCAGTAAGCCACGATGGCATCACTGCACTCCAGCCTGGCTTAGAGAGCAAGATTCTCTCTCTCTTTCTGTCTCTGTCTCTCTCTAAACACACACACATGGCTGGGTGTGGTGGCTCACATCTGTAATCCCAGCACTTTGGGAGGCCGAGGTGAGCGGATCATCTGAAGTCAGGAGTTTGAGGTCAGCCTGGCTAACATGGTGAAATCCCGTTTCTGTATAAAAAACAACAGCAACAACACACACACACATACACACACACACACACACACACACACACACACACAAACACACTCAGGAAGCAGCAAAATCAGCACCTCCTGAAACTGCATGAAAGACTCATATGCCCCAGCTTGACATCTTGAATCAGTCTGCATCTGGCAGGACCCCAGGTGGCTCCACTGCATGTAAAGCACCGCCCCAGATGGTGGTGGAGGGAGATCCTAGGGTGGTGACTCTGCTCCACAGGTGGAAGCCTCCAGTCCAGATTGGGGCTGCCGGAAGGCCCAGGAGGGACATTTCCAAGAAGGTGAAGTAGAATATCCAAAGTCTGTAACTTCTTAAAAGAGTAATACAAATAGAAGAAATGTCAAGTTTAATGAATGCTGTCTATAAAATAAACAAAATCAAAGGCCAGTGCTAACTACAGGAAGAACAAATGTTCAGAAAGTGAAAAGTGGTGGAGCTGAAATGAGAAAATTAGAAACAAGGAATGGCTGAACTAGACGTAATTACTATAGAAATACATTGGGAAGATGAAAGCATGGGAAGAGTGCGAGGAACAGGGACGATGAACTACTGCATTCGCCTCTGTGCTGTGCAGCAGACAACGGCTGCAACTGAAAACCAAGCAGTACTAATGAAGGAGTTGTATTTAGACATATGGAAGTGAAAGTTGAAAGACTTAGCTAAAAAGGTGGAAAATGGTTGCCTCCAGGAAGGCAGAAACTGAGAAGATGCAGAGAGAACTCCTTTCCCTAGAGAAACCCTTTGCAAATATTTGACGTTTTGAATTATGGGCAATTAAACTTTGATTAACAAAAACTGCAATGAATATGAAAATTTATACCTAGTAAGAACCGAATTCAACAAGTGATGCATGAATTAACTAAAATATACGACTATTAATTATATATCATAAATGCATAAATGTGTGAATGACATCAACCCTAAACAAAAACATAGAAGAAAACGTCAATAAACACATCTCTGGATAAATACATAGCACATGAATGAATTCCCTACCGCAGCTCCCTTACTGGTTACCTTGGGAACCCAGGCGGTGGGAGGAAACAGGACCAACTAGAGTCCCTCATCCTTCTCTTCCTTCCAGTCAGGTCCTGGATCCACTCCTGCTGCAAGGAGGACTCCCATCTCCACCTTGAGTCTGTCTTACAGGCGTCACCCTTATGCTCTCTGCCAGGACTGTCTCATGTGGGTGGGGCTGAGGTTGCCTTGAGCAAGAAGTGCAGCACCCATCTGTGTGCCCCAAGACCAGCAGTCAGGAGGCATCAAGAAACAGGGTGGAGAATATCCCACCTCTTACTCATGTACTTTCCTGGTTCATTTGTCCTTCATTAATTCAGTCCACACCTCCCCAGCAGTCACTTTACGCCAGAACCTGATTGACCCAAATTCTTCAAAGTCAGAAAACCTGGAAGCACTCTCTATCCCCTCCCTGATTTCACACTTCAGCTCTGTGTCATCACATGTGGGGTCCAGCTCTTCAGGGCAGATGTTCCCCCACAGGGTCAGCCCCTGAATGTTGGCGCCAGATGTCCCACCTCCATCATTTCACAGCGCTTTGTGTTCTGCTGTGAATCTGTGGGTCATTGGAAACTAGCAGGGAAAGGGGATGAGGGGAGATGTTTTCATGCTGTGTCAAGGCGTTGAGACAGACCTCTCCTTCTCCCCTGAACCTTACACTTTATCCACTCCCAGACGTATGAAATAAAACACAGACCAGAGCTGTCTATTTAAACAGTGAACATCTATAGTATAAAATTTTACACAGGTAGTAGACATGGAATAATGCATAAGACTGTGTCAGGGGGGTGAGGAGACCTCAAGGTGACAAGAAAGCTGGTCCTAGGCTCGTCAGGAGGAGTCATCACCAAGACACTCACTCATAAAGCCCCTATGATGTTCTAATTACTGTACATGTAATATATTAAAATATAACAAAATAGGTTGGGCACAGTGGCTCACGCTTGTAATCCCAGCACGTTGGGAGGCTGAGGTAGGCAGATCACCTCAGGTGGGGAGTTTGAGAACTGTCTGGCTAACTTGGCGAAACCCAGTCTCTACAAAAAATATTAGAATTAGTTGGATGTGGTGGTACGCGTCTGTAATCCCAGCTACTTGGGAGGCTGAGGCACAACAATTGCTTGAGCTGGAGAGGTAGAGGTTGCAGTGAGCCGAGATCGCACCACTGAACTCCAACCTGGGTGACAGAGTGAGACTTCGTCTTAAAAAAAAATTATAATAATAGAAAAACAATGGAAATGATGATACCAACTAATATGGCTCAGCTGCAAACACCTCATGCCTACTAATACTTGGAAACAAATAGTGTTATGTTCTTTGTTTCATAGGTCAGGAAACTGAGGCACCAAGAGGGAAAGTGCTGGTGAGATCCAGGCAGGGAGCTGAGTTCTAGCTGCCTGGCTGCAGAATCTCGGTGCCCTCAGTGGAGCCAGCGGGCCCAGGAGCTGACATCAGAGGCTGAAATCCCGGCTGTGCGGCATCCCTGTGGTCTCTTGTCTCAACCACGTGTTGATCCAGGACCTGCAGGCTCACGAGCTCTGGAGAAAAGAGAGAAACCGGTGAGTGCTCCACTGAGTGCAGAGTGTTGTGTTCATTCCCTGACGTCTTTTCTCTCTTCAGTTGCTCCAAAATCAGATGCTCCCTTTCTCTGAGGGAAGAGGAGGCCCTCACTTTTTTCTTCCTCACACCAGCTTTTCCCAGCCCCTGCCAGTTCCATCACTCCATCATCAGCACCTGTGCCCACCACCCATCAGGCAGGGAGTGAAAGGGGCCCAAGACTAAAAGACAAGACGCAAGAGGGAACCCAGTGCTCTCCCCTCCTCTCAGGCCTGATCAGTCCTGTTAGAGTGAGAGGCCTCCCCAAAGAGAGGCCCTGACCCTTGCCCTCAGTCCCCAGGCCCTCCTCTCCTGCAGAGGCACCTGCACTACCAGGCAGGCCGTGCCCACCGTGGGCTCTGCCCTCTAGTCTGCAGGCTCGGGCGTTCCTCCCCTCCCAGCCCAGAGCAGGCAGCTCTTAACTGAGGACCCCATCAAGAAGTCCTGAGGGTGCCCAGCCTGGCTCAGCATGGAAAGATGTGGCTGCCACAGGATCTGCACCTGACCCTGGGGCCCCCAGCTTGCTTCAGGAGGCCTGGCCTCCCCTGATCCTCTAGCACCCACCCAGGCCTGTGACCTGCTCTTGAGTCACCACTGCTCCTGCCTGGTCCACTTACCCCTAGGAAATGCAGCTCCACCCCAGGGCTGCTGCTTGGTGAGGCTGTCGAGGCCTTTCCTGCTCTATCTCTAGCAGGGATTCCATCCAGGACACTGCCCTTGCAACCCTACAAGGGATTTTCTCCATGTGGAGTAGGGGAGACCCCTTAGCCTGAGGCCTCTGTCTACCCTCTGCACCTGGGAACTGCCCCTGCCACAGCCACCGTCTCCCACACAGACCCTCCTGGAGTGGGAGCTCCAAATGTGAGTTCCTGTTTCACTTAGTATGCTTTACAACATCAGTATTAGAGGAAATTCTATCAAGATCGTAGAGCTGAAATTATAAACGCCTTTATGGGACATCAACATTGAAAGCAGGAATTTTGAAACATTGACACATAACTTTCATATCCTTTTCCCGGCCAAACCCCCAATGACCTGTGAGGAAACCAGCCATGGTCACAGAAAACCAGAACTGACAATCCCTCTACAGGAGACACCACAGGTGAGAGCAGGAGCCACCACACACCTGCTCTGCCCCTGCTGCGGGTGCCTCCTGGATGGGGCCCTCTTGCTGCAGGGTATGGGATGAACCTGCCCATCTGCCCAGGCCTGAGGGGCAAACAGGACAGTGCAATTAGGTGAACAATGAGAAACCACCACCCCTACTGCCAGGTACACAGAAGTGGGGAAATGACAGAAAGACCCAGGTCTCCTGGACACCCCAGCCCCTCACTGTCCCCTGCACTGCCTCTGTTTTTGCAAAAACACAAAACTTCCTGCTTTCTCTTTTCATCTCCCATCAAACAACCTGACTGTGGGGGAAATGATCCTGACTGTCCCTTACTCCAAACTTACCAGGCAGTGACCACCTTTAGAAAGGGAAATAGCCGGCTGGGTGCGGTGGCTCAAGCCTGTAATCCCAGCACTTTGGGAGGCCGAGGCGGGTGGATCACGATGTCAAGAGATCGAGACCATCCTGGTCAACATGGTGAAACCCCATCTCTACTAAAAATACAAAAAATTAGCTGGGCATGGTGGCGTGTGCCTATAATCCCAGCTACTCAGGAGGCTGAGGCAGGAGAATTGCCTGAACCCAGGAGGCGGAGGTTGTGGTGAGCCGAGATCGTGCCATTGCACTCCAGCCTGGGTAACAAGAGCAAAAAAAAAAACTCCGTCTCAAAAAAAAAAAAAAAAAAAAAAAAAAAGAAAGGGAAATAGCCTCAGGGAGGGCAAGGTCAGGCCACAGAGCACAGAACAAAGCCCCAGAAACATGGTCCCTGGGGACTGAGTCCCTCAGGGACTGGAGAAGAAAACACCTGGAGGTAGGATGAGAACAGGGACCGCAGCTGCCCTGATGAGGGGCTGGGCCCCGCTCCTCAAATGGCCCTGGGACATCTGCTTATTTACACATCTATATCATCTGCATGGAAATTCAGGGAGGCCAGGTGGTGGGAACCTGGAAAGAGCAATGCCTCGAGTGACCCAGAAGACATGACACCCCCCAGGCAGCTCCTGGAGGAGGCGCATGAGGATCTGCAAAGTGGACAGAGATGGCCGTGTGCGACCAGAACCCTCCTTGTTACAAGAGGGCCTCCAAGGGGTGGCACAGGCAGGGCCCCCAGTCTGGGTCTCATATCTTTTCCTTGGTGTTCCCCCAACCAAATGGCTGGAGAAACAGGGGAGAGGGATGCAGAGAGGAAGGGACTAGGGACACCGCCTCCCCTTGGATTCCTTTCCAGTTTCTAGCCCTCCCCAGATCACAGCTGCCTTTATTATTTGCTCTCTGTGAGGCTGTGATCATCTAGGCCCTCAGCACTCCGCATGTGATTCCAACTCACCCCACCTGGACGCGCCCTAGTGAGCCAGAGAGACAGAGACACCAAGATGGGGACAGAGCAGGCACCATGGCCGTCCCTGCTGCCCACTCCTCACCTGCAGCAGGAAGAGGCCACAGCTAGACATTTGAGGGCCTTCCCAGGCCCTAACTTGGGAAGGATTTAGGGTGTAGATGGAGATGTGGCTCCCGTTCCCCTCCCAAATACCCCAACTTCCAACCCCTGTTCCAGAAGCCTGGTCACCTACATGCCTATCTGCGCAGGAGCAATGAGGGGACCCTAGTGCCCAGACAGGAGCCCTCCCATCTCCAGCCACTGCCCCCTTTTCTCACCTGGATGCTGTGCAGGTAACGTTCTCTTCTTCTTGTAGTGACAGACACAGTAACTAATAGCAGCAGCAGCAGCAGCAAGAACAAGAGCAGCAGTAACACCAGTAATATATGGATTGACTGACCATTGACTCGGAAGCACGGACTCCTCCCCTGCAAAAAGGGACTTGTTATATACTGGGCAGAGAGCCACAGCTGACCCTCTCCAGGGTCACCCCAGGCTCACCAGGGGGCACAGGGTGAGTGCTGTGATTCCCGCTGTGTTCCATGTAGCAGGTGAACCTCTGCTCTTCTCCTTGGCGAATCCTGATGGTCACCCTGGTCTGGTAGGTTCCATTCCCATCAGGCAGGACACGCTCCAACTGCTGGTCGTCCTGGCTCAAAGATACCCCGTCCCGACGCCAGGTCAGTGTGATATTCTGGGGATAGACGCTGGAAGCCAAGCATGTCGCAGTGGTGTTGCCATCTGAGTCCTTCCGGCGGGTGACATTCACCATGGGGGGCACTGAAGAAAGCGCAGAGTCAGTGAAGCCCTGCTCCCCTCTAAGGGAGATGCAGGGAACAGGGCTGGTCCTCTCCACTGTTCCCACTCTCGCTGAAGCCCTCACAGACCCTGGACCTTCTGTAAGTCTGTCCTCACCGTGGGGCCCAATTCCTCTAGGCTGGCAGGAGGATGGGCCTCGGGACTGCAGTCTTAAGCTCTGGAATCCCCACAACGATGCTGAGGAGGGGGATGTTAGGGGTGGACTCCTGGGTTGTGGGGCCCGTAGGAAACTCTCTGGGATGGGCAGGCTGGAAGGCAGATGGGGCAGCCCTGGCCCTGAAGGCTTCCTCTCCTGCCTGACACCCACCCCGGCCTCAGCATTCTGTTGGAGGACCCCCTGCTTTCCCAGATTACAACACTGGACAGTTCAGTCCCTGACCCACTGTCTCTATCCAGTGGCTCTGACAGGAGAGAAAAATCAGGACACAATACCCCAATAGGAAATGCCTGCATCCACAGCACTGGGCAGGTTTCCCTGGTCAGAGCTGGGGGGTGAGGCAACTCTAGCAGAACTGGGGGGAAAAGAGAGCCCCTGCCCAGGATCCACACCTGTTCTGATGCCCGCCCTGGATTCCAGATGTCGCCGTAGTTTCCACAGGCAGTTTGCCCTCACAGTGCCAGCTTTCATGGCATCTTCCCCCCAGACATTCATGATGTTCGTAGCCACGCTGCGAGCTGTGGAGGACTGGGGCACTGTCCATTCCTGAGTGACCAGGTTTTGGGAGAGGAAGAGCTCCGCATCATAGTAGAAATCCTGGAAGCTCCTGGTGCTACCGTCTTCATGGATCTCACAGCGTCTAATCTCCTGGAGGGAATGCAAGGCTGCCCCCACCCAGCAGTGACTTCTCCATTCCTGAACCCCTCACCTTCCGGCCAAGTGAGGAACTCAGCCCAGCGGGGACCCCTCTCTGGCCCTCCTCCGTGCCTCCCTGTGCTGGCTGAGTGCCGGTTCACCTCCCTGCTGAGCTCCACTGACCCCCATTCTTCACCCCCAGCCCCAGCCAGATCCAGTGGGAAGAGACAGGTCGCTGTTCTCTGCCTTAACTTTTCTGGAAAAGGCCTCTCCTGTCACTCTTGCCCCTGCCCACTCTCACCTTTCTGCCCCGTGATATCAGCCAGCATCATCCTGAGGTCCTCCGCATTCTCTCTCAAGTCCTCGATCTCTCTGTGCCAGGGCTCAGCTCTCACGACTGCTTCTGCCCACTGTCCCTGGGGACCTGCCGGGCATTTCTGCCTGTCACAGAGCAGGAAGAGCTGACCATCCAGATGTCCCTCAGCGAGAAACCCTGACTGCACAGATCCATCCCGGGACAGCACTGTGAGGTTATATTGAAGACGGTGGGGCTCTGGGGAAGAGAAAATCACAGATGAAACTTCTTCCTGGAAGTAACTTCACATCGATGCTTAACACACAGGTTTGCTGTCCTGACCTTCCTGAGGAGACAGGAAGTGCACATGGGCAAAGGGACAAGAACAAGGGTTTCATATACAAGGAAAACTGGGAAGCTGGGAGGATAGAGGAGGGGACTGAGGAATGGAAGAAGGGGGAATGGAGATGGCAAACTTGTAGGCCAGGTGCCAGGGCTGTGGGGCCACAGGCCCCCTAAGGGTATAGGGACCACGGGGAGTGGCTCTTCTGCAGGGGTAATGGAGAAACATGAAGGCAGTGGTGGGAGGAAGGTCTTGCCAGAGGAGAGGTGGGGAACGGGAAGGCACTCAGGCTCAGAGGGACCCATGTCCAGTGTGGCTGTGGTACACAGGTGACAGCGAGATGGAGCCAAGGGGAGCTGCCTCGAGAAAAGACTCATCATGGGCATGGTGAGGGCAAGGGAGGGGGTGGTCATGAGGCACAAGGGGCAGGAAGGTTGTAGCCCCAGAGAGGTTCATAGTGGGGTCAGTATCCCAGAGGGAAGCAATGGTGTGGGCTTGGGTCCCAGTGGAAGAGTGGCATGACAGCATGACAAGGCCCCAGGACAGCAAGTGCATGCACCCGCTAGTGTCCACCGGGGTGGGCAGATGACAGGGTCTCAAAGAGTCAGTCCACATTTCAGTCAATAGTGCTGGGGGAGCCGGGCGCGGTGGCTCAAGCCTGTAATCCCAGCACTTTGGGAGGCCGAGGCGGGTGGATCACGAGGTCAAGAGATTGAGACCATCCTGGTCAACATGGTGAAACCCCGTCTCTACTAAAAAATACAAAAAATTAGCTGGGCATGGTGGTGGGTGCCTGTAATCCCAGCTACTCAGGAGGCTGAGGCAGGAGAATTGCCTGAACCCAGGAGGCGGAGGTTGCGGTGAGCCGAGATCGCACCATTGTACTCCAGCCTGGGTAACAAGAGTGAAACTCCGTCCAAAAAAAAAAAATAGTGCTGGGGGAACTGGATGTTCAAATGAAATAAAATGGCACCTTTAATTTGCACTCTATACAAAAATTAACTCAAAATGAATGAAAGACCTAAACTCTAAACTCAAGAACTAAAACTTAAAAATTTCTTAGAAGAAAACGTTGGGGATAATCTTCATGACACAGGATTTGATAGAGCTTTCGTGGATGTGACACCAAAGAACAGACAGAATAGAAAGAACTGACAAACTGGACTCACGAAAATGAAAACATCTGTGCATCAAAGGGCACGATTAGAGTGAAAAAGCAATCAATGCCTGAAATGAAATAAATATGCAAATCATATATCTAATAAGAGATTAGTTTCCAGAATATTCAAAGAAGTCTGACAAAAACAACAACACAGTCAACACACACAAAAATGGGCAAAGTAGCCACAAGAAGCTATGTGGGGGAAAAATGGGAAAATGGCTTGAATGGCCAATTCTTCAAAGAAAATATACAAATGATCAATAAACACATGAAAAGATGCTCAATATCAGTAGTCATTAGGAAAATGCAAATCAAAACCATAATCATATACTGCTTCTGCACAGCCAAGGAAAGAGGGTGGGTGCAGTGGCTCACACCTGTAATCCTAGCACTTTGGGAGGCTGAGGTGGGTGGATTGCCTGAGTTCAGGAGTTCAAGACCAGCCTGGGCAACACGATTTCATGTTTACTAAAAATACAAAAATTGGCCAGACGTGGTGGTGTGCAGCTGTAGTCCCAGCTACTCAGGAGCCTGAGGCAGGGGAATTGCTTGAACTCCGGAGGTGGACGTTGCAGTGAGCTGACATTGAACCACTGCACCCCAGCCTGGGCCACATAGAAAGACTCTGTCTCCCAAAAAAAGAAAAAAGAAAAAAAGAAAGAAAAAACCCCTCCTGCACAGCAAACAAAACAATAAACAAAGTGAAAAGACCATCCAAGAAAGGGAGAAAATATTTTCAAACTATTCATCTTACAAAGGATTAGTAACTGAAGCATATAAGGAGCTCAAACAACTCTATAGGAAAAAAAATTCTAAGACTCCAATTTAAAAACGAGCAAAAGATCAGAATAGTAATTTCTCAAAACGAAGACTTACAAATGGCAAACAGGTATATGAACAGGTGCTCAGCATCACCGGTCATCAAATAAATGCATCAAAACTACCATGAGATGTCATTCCGCCCCAGATAAAATGGCTGTTACCCAGAAGACAGGCAATGAGGAAGGCGGCAAGGATGCAGAGAACCCTTGTACACTGCTGGTGGGAGTGTAAACTAGTACACCACTATGGGAAACAATGTGGAGTTTCCCGAAACTAAAAACATAATAGAACTGTCATATGCTGCAGCACTCCCACTGTTAGGCATATACCTGAAAGAAAGGAAATTGGCATATGAAAGAGCTATCTACTTTTCCATGTTTATTGAGGGGTTATTCAAAATAGCCAAGCTCTGCAAGCAACCTAAGTGTCCATCAACACACGAATGGATAAAGCACATGGGGCGCACATGTGTACGTGGAGTACTATTCAGCCGTCCTGCCATTCGCAAAGAACTGGAGGTCATTATGTTAAGTGAAATAAGCCAGGCACAGACAGACAAACTTTGTTCTTTGTTACTTGCAGCAGCCAAAAGTGAAAACAATTGAACTCATGGGGAGAGACAATGGAATGATGACTACCAGAGGCTGAGAAGGGGAGTGGGGAGTGGGGAGTGGGATGGTTAATGGTTACAAAAATATAGTTAGAATGAATAAGATCTTGTTGATAGCACATCAGGATAAGACGGCAATAATTTACTATATATGTAAAAATAACTGAAAGAGCATAATGGGATTGTTTGTAGCACGAAGAAAGGATAAATTCTTGTTGTGATAGATACCCCATGTACCCTAATATGATTATTACATATTGTATGCCTGTGTTAAACTAACCCACGTACTCCATAAATATATACATATATATGTACTACATACCCAAACAAAAGTTAATAATTAAAAAAAAATAGCAATGGTTGGGGGTGCAGACCAGAGACAGAAAACGAAGGTAGAGGGGGAGACTCCCAGCCTGAGGAAGGGCCTGCCAAAAGTAGTGCTGCAGGCGGAACAGTCACCCCAGAGTAGGTAAAACAAAGATTTTAGGTATGTGGTGTAGGGAGTGAGAGCCCACTGGGGTCAAGTAACTGAAAGAAAACAATGAGGGTCAAGGAACAGTGGGACCAACAGCCTGTTTTAGGTCTGGACTGGGGGCGGTGTGGCGGGGGAGGAGATGGGTAGAGCAAGAACTGGATGGCAGCGTGAGCGTGGGGCAGGAGTGACTGTGGAGGAACTTGGGTTAGGGTGAGGACAGGAGGGGAGGTTGCTCTGTGGGGGGTGAGGTTTGACAAAGATGAGAACTTGCTGAGGGCCCAAGGCAGGTGAGCAAGAGGTAGGAGCAACACAAGGTCCCCAGGTGGAGTGGGCGGAGGGACCAGGGAGGGATGGTCCAGCACCTGTGGGCTGTAGGGTGGGGTCCTCCAGAGGGTGAGGCTGAGGATAACGGAGAGGGGAAGGGGCCACCGTGAGGCAGGGCCCAGAGCAGGCACCTGCACTGGAGGGGAGGGGACATCTGCACTGCCCTGTGTCCTGCCTAAGACCCAACTGTCATTAGCACCAGGGCTCCCCCTGGGTTGTCTGGAGGGGAGTGGGATGGAGGGAAGACCCCTGGACAAAAGGCAGCACCAGAAACTTAGGGTCAGGGACAGCTGGGAGTGGGAGGCGTAGGGGCAGCACTGAGTGAAGGCTACTTGTAGGAAAAGCGAATAAGGGAGGCAGGAGGGACCTGCCGTGGCGGGGCCAGGGGATGAGGGCAGAGGACACCCTAGAAATGGATCAGAGAAGTGCAGACAGGAAGGGGTAGCAGAGAGCTGGGAGGGCAAGAGGACCCAGGGGGCCCTGAGATGGGCAGGGAGGAGGGGCAGGGAATCTGTTGTCCTTAGGTCCATTGGTCATTAGTAGGGTGGGGCGAGAGAGGACAGGACACCTTCGCCCCCCACCCCCCGCATGAGAACCACCGGCTCGCAGGAGAGGACAGGGCTTCAGGGACCTGGGAGCCGCCCCCAGCACCGGTTGATGTGGCTGCCGTAGGGGCCGAAGCGGGGAGGGCTTTCAAATGCCATTCACAGGAGCAGCCCGCGAGTCGGGGGCGCAGCCCGGGACCCCAGGTGTCTCAGAAGGGCTGGTTTGTCCGAAAAGCGAGAGGAGGCGGAGGCGAGGCGAGGAGAGCAAGTGCAGGACAGGAAAATGCAGGGGCGGGTGATGCGCGGTCCGGAGGAGGCCAGAAAAGAGACGGGAAAGCAGGGCTGAGGTGTGGCGGCCACGGGCCGCGTCCAGCTCCCCGCACCCCGGACCTCGCACCTGAGCCCCGCTCGGACCGCGCCGCGCTCGCCAAGACCCACCGGGATCCTCGGAAACGTCCAGCCACTCCCGCTCCGCCGAGGACCGCCAGGAACCCCACTCACCAGCGGCGGCTCCCAGGAGTGTAAAAGGGAAGGCGCCAGCCAGAAACAGCAGGACCCGACCCAGCACCATGGCCCCGACGTCGCCTCCCTCTCAGGGGCTCCAGCAGTGGCCGGCAGAACCGGGGGCGGGAGACGGCCCCGCGGATATTTAGCCACCCGCCCCGCCCCTAGAGACGCTTATCCAATGAAACTGAGGCCTGGAACTTAGGGCCAATCACGAGAGGGGAGGGCGGGGCCACGTTCACCGGAGAAATTTCCAGAGCCACGAGACCTGTGGAGCCGCAGCGGGCGAGACGTGGGGTCCTGCAAAGTGGGAGCGCGCGCGGGAGCGCGGCTAAAAGCGGGGACCAGCTGCGAGTAGCTGAGGGTACAGCTCCAACCTGATGAGCACAGCCAGGGCCCTGTCGCCCTCCCTGCATCGCCACCACCCATCCCCGCACCCCCACCCTAAGGAGCGCGGGCCTCACCAAGCCCCTTTCGCCGGTCGCCCCATCAGGCCGGCTCTCACTGGCTTGTTCCTTCCAAGAGGGACAACGCCTGATTATTTTCCCAACACACTCCCTCAGCCGCGGACAGCGTTACTGGCAGTAAGAGCAGTGAGCAGATTTGCAGACTTGTTTCCAGGTCTCAGCCACCTCTGCCTCTCAGAAGCACCTGCCCAGGAGAACCGCTCAGACGACAAACTTAGACGTTTCAGCTGTAGAATATCCTTCTCCTCCCTTCGACTCGAAGCCAGGTCCCCATTCACCCTCTAATATCCTCTAAGTGTCTGATAGAGAGGGGCAAGGCCGCCTCTCTATTCAGTCCCTGGCTGATCACAGGCCAAGGACGCGGCTCTCCAGGGTTCACGACAACACCAAACTCTCTCCAGACTCCCTTTTCCAGCCTGTCGTAGGACATCTGCACTTCCAGGACCATAGTCCCCTCCAATGTGACAGATCCACAAGGACTCTCTACACGTCTCCCACCACATCACTCCGTTTCTCTTAAGAGCATCAGCATCCTTGGTCCCTTCTGATTTCCTCTTTCCCCTTCATCTCCAGGAGTCAAAGTCAGCTCCTCCAACCCTCTTTCAATCCCACAGCCACTCCCTTAGTCTAGGCTTTTCCCTCCCTTCAGCCTAGATGACTGCACCGGCTTCCTAAACCCTGTGCCTGCCCCAGTTGTAACCAGAGTGCTCCAAAGCAGCACAGCGCCCCATCTGCTGAATGTTACACATGATGCTTCCACTCTACCACGGAAACCACAGCTGCCAAAACCTGCTGTCTGGCACGGCCCCCATTTCTCTGGTGACATCTCCCCAGGGTTGCAGTAAAAGTGGGCTCTGGGATCATCTCACCCTATCCCACCAGGATGCCACTGCCTAAGCCACATCCCTCTTCCAGTTCACTGTCACCTCTGCCTTAGAACCCGTCAGAGCGAACCGTATCCTCAAAATCTTCCCAATGAGGCTGGTCTGAGTGGAGTGGTATTTACAAGAATTGATCACAACCAGTTATGGATGTCTTTGTTTCTTACTCACTCCCACTATTTCACTTGACTAGCCTTAAAAAAAAAAAAAAGAAAAAAAAGGAAGAAAAGTTTTTCAAGTAGATGGTTGTGATGGTGGCACAACCTTGCAATGATGCTAAAAGCCACTGAGCTGTACATTGTAAAAGGATAAATTATGTGAAAATGAATTCTCAATTCTCAGTAATAATAATGCTGTCCGGAAAGCCTCTTTCTACTAAGAGAATTGCCTTGTCCCCAGCGCACATCTCTTAGTCTTTGGGAAATTTAGCCAGTGGTCTTCAAACCGAGCCACTGTATAGAACCACATGGAGAGTTTTCAATACCCATGTTTCCAGGCCACAGCCCAAACCAGTTAAATCAGTAAACCGAGGTTGGACCTAAGCCTTAGTATCTTTTAAAGTTCCCCAGGTGATTCCGAAGTGCAGTCAAGCTTTGGGACTCCTCATCTAGGCCCTGGTTTCAACCTTCCTCATGGTACAGATGGTGCCCTGTGTTCAACCTTTTCTTTCTTTTCTTTTTTCTTTCTTTCTTTTTTTTTTTTTTTGAGAAGAAGTTACGCTCTTGTTACCCAGGCTGGAGTGCAATGGCGCGATCTCGGCTCACCGCAACCTCCGCCTCCTGGGTTCAGACAATTCTCCTGCCTCAGCCTCCTGAGTAGCTGGGATTACAGGCACGCGCCACCACGCCCAGCTAGTTTTTTTGTATTTTTAGTAGAGATGGTGTTTCACCATGTTGACCAGGATGGTCTCGATCTGTCGACCTCGTGATCCACCCGCCTCGGCCTCCCAAAGTGCTGGGATTACAGGCTTGAGCCACCGCGCCCGGCTCTTTTTTCTTTTTAAGAGAAGAGTCTTGCTCTGTCACCCAGGTGGAGTGCAGTGGCGTGATTATAGCTCACTGCAGCCTCCAATGCCTTGGCTCAAGCAATCCTCCCACCACAGCCTTCCGAGTAGCTGGGACTACAAGCGAGCGCCAGCACACCCAGCTGTCATCTGCCATTTTCTACCCTCCCCCATTAGATTATGAACCCTCCAGGATCAGGAACTGTGTCCATTTCCTCTCTGTCAGGCTCACAAACATCTTTTTGAGTTGAACTATACCTGTCATTACGATGAGCCTATGATCCCTAGCCTACACTTTTCTGTAGATGCAAATGGAATGTATTTAAGAATTTTAATAATTTCTCAGTTTTCCCATCCACATTCACTAATAATTTATTTTGATCCTCATAAATTATTGAGGAAAGTGGGGACTGGGGTCCTGTCTCCACCTTAGGGAGACTATTTTCACTGCTAAAAACCATTAGCCTAGTGAGAGGCAGAGAGGGAGATGGACCCAGTTCTCCTGAGGCAGGTCCCAAGCCCTTCCCTCCTCCGTGTCTAGGCTCCCTCCAGGACTTCCTCCGTGGGCCAGCTCCAGCAAAAGGTCTCATTCAGCTCACCCCCAAAAGACTTTTCACAGTTCAATAATGATAATAAATATGCAAGGTTTGTTCCAAGGCATTTAGAAGTGGTTGCCGGGAGACATAAAGCCAGTCCTCTCCAGGGCCAGGGGAGGCCGAGATGGTCTTGAGTTCCAGGGAAGTTTCTCAGCGGCCAGGCCTGGCATCTCCTCCCCCACCAAGCCTCCCAGGTCTTCTGTCACCTCTAGTCCCCTCCACCCCACCTCCAGCCCCTTCTGCTCTGCCCCATCAACTACCTTTTCTCCCTTAGCACCCGGCTTAGATCCCCGGACTCACGAGCACAGAGGCGACTTCCTCCTCGCCGACTTTAGGCGCCATGGCGGCTAAAGAGAGAGGTCCGGAAAAGAAAGAGAAACGGCCCAGGGTGTTGGCTCACAAAACCCAGGGCCGGGCTGCACTTGGCGCCCGCAGGAGTTTTGAATATTTCCGCTGAGAGTTCACTGCGAGTAGCGGGATCGCTTTTCGCCCCGCCCCGGTCTACGGAGAATGACAAATGCTTACTAATACAGAAACGGAATAGGCCCGGTGTGGCGGCTTACACCTGTAATTTCAGCTGTTTGGGAGGTCGAGGCGGGAGGATCACGAAGTCAGGAGTTCGAGACCACCCTGGCAGACGTGATGAAACCTCATCTTTACTAAAAAGACGCAAATTAGTCAGAAGTGGTGGCGGGCGCCTGTGGTGCCAGCTACTCGGGGGTCTGAGGCAGGCCAATCACTTGAATCCGGGAGGCGGAGGTTGCAGTGGGACGAGATCTTGCCACTGCACTCCATCGTGGGTTACAGAGCAAGACTCCATCAAAAAAAAAAAAAAAAAAAAAAAAAAAGCAAAGCAAGAAAGAAACGAAATAACGGAGCTCTGGGCTGGGGAGGGCCGAGCCTTTAGGCTTCTGGTCTCAGGCTTTGGGGCATTCACACCTGTCGCTGTAAAATGCAGACTCCGAAGTAGGAATTCCGAGTCCGGGGTGGAGTGCGATCTGGAATCTCACTCGCTCGAAACAGCACCGCAGTGGATTCGGACCCGGGTCAGTAGGGAAATGTGCCTCAGACCTTCCCACCGGCCGCCCACGGATTCTACATTCCGAAAACGCTTCCTGCTGCCCTGTCACCCCAGGAAGGCGGCGCCCGCCTTGGGTTTGTTCTGATGGAACAGAACAAACGCTCCACCGCCCGCAGGGAAACCCACAACTAAGGGGCCAGGAAAAAGCCCCTCAGGGTCTCGCCCCTTCAGTGAGGGTCCTAATTTACACCCTCCATCAAAGACCGGAGTGACCTTCAGTGAAACGATACAAGACCCGCGGGGCCCAGGGCGCTCGGCTCACAGAAGGCGGAGACAGCGCCGCCTCGCGTCCCTTCCCTGACCTGCCCAGGCGGACGCGGTCACGTGTGTTGGCCTCGAGGCTGGAATACACCGGGTTCAAGGGCAGGGAGTGGAAAAAGGAGGGAAGGATGGGGGGGGTGGGGCGTGTTGAAGAAAGGAGGGAAGAGATAGGAAGAAAAGGAGAGAGAAGAAGTAAAGGAGAGATTAAAATTTAAAATACGTAGTTTTATTATTTCTCTTAATTTTGCCATTTGTCTAGTTTTACTTCTGAACATTTTTGCCGTAGATTTCTCTCTCTCTCAGTCTGTAAATCCACGGCTATTATTGTTATTTAGGGCCTGCGAGGGTGAGTGGCAGACAGCATGACCCTCTTCCTCCAGATGTGTCAGGGTGTGTCTCCCGGTCCCAAGAACAGGGTTTTTGTTTTGCATTGTTTTACATAAAGTACAAATCTCAAGGGGGATAATACTTTTATTTTTATTTTTGAGACGGAGTTTCAGTCTGTCACCCAGGCTGGAGTGCAATGGGGCGGTCTCGGCTCACTGCAACCTCTGCCTCCCAGGTTCAAGCTATTCTCCTGCTTCGGTTTCCAGAGGAGATGAGACTACAAGCGCCCGCCACCACACTTGGCTCATTTTTGTCTTTTTAGTAGAGACAGGTTTCACCATATTTGCCATGCTGGTCTCGAACTCCAAGTGATCCTCCCTACTCACGATCCTCCCCGCCTTGGCCTCCCAAAATGCTGGGGTGACAGGCGTAAACCACAGCGCCCTGTTGTTAAAGCATATTTCAATCGT